GCACAAGGTGGAAAAGAGCATTTTGAGTGAATGAAACAAAACAACTCCAGGTCATTTTTGAGGAGGTAACAACATTCTAACATGACTAAACGCTCACGAGTCACTTTTGTGTAATATAGAACCTTTAAAAGGGAATTAAAGCCACAAGAATGCATAATATGTGTTCTTTAAACCACACACTTTTTTATCTTTGTGAACTCAAAAGTTTTAAGGTTGCCAAGTGTTTACAGACTATTAGCTGCAGTTCTGCTGAGGTTAGGCAGAGGGCAGTGTTTCTAGTGGCCTATAGATCCTAAACTGCCAGAGATTAGTGGAATAACTTGATGCACTGTCTGCCCGCGTTCTTTTTGCTGGATGTAGACACTGTTTTTGATACTAGACGCTCTATGTTGCGTTTATTAGATACAACAATGTGCAATTCCTGTGTGATACGTCCATATTTATACTGTCTGCAATCAGAGTGCAGGTTCATAAGTGTATACTCAGCCTAAAATTTTCTTAATAATAATAAGGGATATAATGTATTCAGGAATGTTGTATGTTTCTCTTATAGTAGAGAAGAAAAGGATATTTTTGTGTTTTAAGAGATTAGAGGTAATATATTTGTGTCAGAATGTTTTATTAGACAGCACTTGAAGGATTATTATTATATTATTATTATAATTATAATAATAATAATTATTATTAAAGACGCACTATGTAACTTTTCTAGTGGAAGTTCTGCCACCTTCTTGTCTCCATGGATATATCATTGCTTTGCCTGGAATGTTACACAGTTTCAGTGGTGTATAGTACTTGTTACATTTACTCACTATAATTTTCAAAGAACATTTTTAGCAGTTTCTCGCACCACTCCTTTGGATATGATTAAATTTTTATAATCTTGGTGGTCTGCCTTTGAAAATATTATCTAATGCTTATAAATTCTTAAATTTATAACCAGTAAGTAAGTAAGTCACTCTTACCTGAGTAGTGCTTTCCCCCCAAATACTCTTGAGCCACTACTGTACTTTAACTTGAGTAATAGTATTTTGAAGTAACATTTCTCTTACTTGAGTACAATTTTTGGCTAGTCTATCCATCTCTGTTTGGGATTTTATCCTGCAATTTTACCTTGAAAATCATTCAAGGTATTTGTTATTCTTATTTCTGTCATGCTGTGGACCATTCCAGACAAAGCAATAACATCTCCATGGAGACAAGCAAGTAGTGGAGCCTCCATCAGAAAAGTGTCACAGTGCACCTTTAAACTTATTGTATGATGTATAAATGGGGCTGTGTATTGTCATATTCAGTATTCATGTTGCCACAGTTGTAAATGCCATAGGTGTGGGACTCCTCAGACCTGCTCATTTCTTACTCTTTTCTATGGCAACATATGGTTTATTTTACTCTGGAAATAAATTATTTTGCAGAAAAGAACCTTTGCTTTTGTCATGTTTTTGTTAATGACATGGACTTTGTGCCTTAATTATAATTAGAGCTGGGGAATATGACAAAAAATTAACATACACTATTGTTTTACTGATATTGATCAATCACATAAGCTTTACTCTGGACAAATTTGATTAATTATGCAGCCCTAATTATCATAATGCTTTTGATTTAAATGCAGTGCAATGCATATCAATCAACATGAATGAACATTTAAATGTTAATGTGCCAGACTTAGTCAGAGGGTGATTTTTCATCTATAGTCCCAGCACAGACATTGAGGGTCATTTTACAAAGTCTACAATTAAAATTAATTGGAAATAGAAAATTAAAGCTATATGTCGGAACATTCTCCATGGAAATAGGTACGTTTTATGCCACACTGTGGAATTTATACAGCCAGTCAAAGAAACAACACTTCCATGGAAACAAGAAGGAGGAAGCAATACGTAAGTGGCCAGCAGGGGGCAGTCATGGGACGCAGTGAGCGACTGATGTTCAGTGACAGCTCAGATTTACAAAGAGCTGCTGTAAGTGTGGAGGTTTGTGTTGGTGTTTTTTTCATGATAACCCACAGAGTCTGTCCAGGAAATAAAAACAAAACAAACTAAATTATAATAACAACTGCACAGTTCAATAGTGGCACCAGTGTAGCCAGTTCTCCTTTGAAATGCATTAAATTTTTGGGAAGTAAAATTAAAAAAAAGCTTTTTCTCCCATTTCAATCCGAGTGCAGACAGTTTGTAGAAGCAGACAATCATGAGATCTTGTATCAAAGTTCAACAAAAAAGGGAGAAATTCAGGCTCATGTTAGTCTTTTAAAAATACATTTTAAACAGGAAAGAAACTCACTCTCTGACTGGCTTATTGGGTCCACCAGAGCTTGGATTTTAGGAGGAAAACAAAGCCCCTCTTCTTTTACATATGTGTAGATAGTGCAGACCAGTCCTTCCCAGTATACTCTGACCACAACTCAGCCCAGGACAGAAGGGGGCGCTGCAGAGAGCTGAGAAGATTACTGAATATGACTTCTCATCCACCAGGAGACAGAACATCAGGATGATAGTGACCCACCTGGTTTGTCCTTTTCTGATAAATACATGAAGCTGTTTTAAATCCTTAAGTCAGGTTTTTATACTATAACACAGTAGTACTCTGACTGTGTTGGAATATTTTACTAAAAGTTTAGTCACAATGAAATCCAAGCACTCCAAAAAAGTAAAAGTCGCACGAGGAAGAGTATAGAATAGTATAGTTAACAAAGTCCTGATGAAGACCAGTCATGGTCGAAACATTTTGGCTTTGGCCATTTAAATCAAGGCCCATTTAAATTGAGGCCTTTACACTATACTTCATTGTGTGACTTTAACTTTTTTGGAGTGCCTGGATTTCGTTGTGTCCAAAGGTTTGATTCTTTTTCCAAAAGCACTCTCTACCTGTTCTCACTGACTGAAACACCTGCAGCAAACAGCCACATTTCAGTTTTTCTGTACAGATGTGTCTAAAAGTATACAGTAGCTTATTCAATAACTAAATACATTTTCAAAGTGTATTCTTCACATCACTGGATAGCATGTTCATTAGGCCTAATTATAGTCTACTTTTGAAAGCATCACAGGCCTAGAGTTTGTCTGTGCCAGTTGGCGTGATAAATAAAGAATCTTGAAGCTCACAGATTTTACTTTTACTTATCTTCACATGAAAGAACAGGAATGCAGCCAACCAGCAAGACACATAATTCTCAAAAAGAAGGTAAAGAAACTTAAATCAAGTCAGTATCAGCTACATTGTGTGCACAATTAATTAATTAATTAATTAATTAATTATTAGAAAAAGCTTGCATCTTATAGGGCCATGATTTTTATGCTGGACAAATCTCCATCACATGTATCAAAGTACTCCATTGTGTCGTTCAGCCAGTAAGGGCTGAAAAAAGATGAAAAATAATGACATGGCCCCCTTCTTCAACTGACCTAAACCCTATTGAGAACTTGTGGGCCCTTCCCACCCTTTACGCTGAACGAAAACAGATTCTGGGAGGCTGTAGTTGCTGGTGCAAAAAATCTGATCAATAAATTGACAGACTCCATGAATGGAAGGCTTACGACTGTTACTGAGAAGAAGGATGACTATATTGGTGACTGTTTTTTTTTTTTTTATATATGTTTATTTGTAAATTTTGAGTTGTTTACTATTCTGACAGATGAAAATAAACAAGTGAGAATAGAAAACATATTTTTTTTATTTAGTTGTGTAATAATTCTGCACATGAATAGTTGCCCAATAATTGTGCACACATAGATTTTCTCCTAAGAAAGCCAAAACTTTACTTTTACTTTCTTAAATATTCATGTTTGAGGTTTATTAACATAGACACAGAGCACTGTAGTTGTTCAGTTATAAAATGAATCCTCATAAATACGACTTACCTAATAATTATGCACACAGTATAAACCTGCATTGAAAATAAAATAAATGATGTTATCGCTTTCCCTAGAATGTTCCTAAATATATGTGTTTGTAGTTTAAAATACCTTGAATAACATGCATTCTTACTGTGAGCTGCAGTATGTTGCAAGAGTCTCTAGAGGCCCCAAGCAAAATCCAGTCCCCAAACAATAATTAATTTTGAATCAAAAAACATGTAATAGTTTCATGCAATAAAATGCATAGTATATGTTACAAAATAAAAAAGTAAAAAGTGGCTAAATGCAGCGCCCTCTCCAGGTGGTGGGGAGTCCCTGTATTAAGGGGAGGCGTTGAAGTATCTGGAGGTCTTGTTCACAAGTGAGGGACAGATGGAGAGTGAGACTGACAGGCAGATTGGTGGAGTATCTGCAGTGATGCAGGCGTTGTATTGGATGATGAAGAAGGAGCTGAGGCCAAAACCAAAACTGTCCATTTTACTGCTCAGTATAAATTATACTCTGACCTGGTCGCTGGTTTAGTCCTGGTTTAGATCTATCTTCTTACCCTCACCTATGGTCATGAGGAAAAGGACACAGATACAAGTGGTTAAATGAGTTTTCTCCGCAGAGTGTCTCGGGCCCTCCCTTAGAGATATGGTGAGGAGCTCAGTTACACGGAAGGAACTTGGAGTAGAGCCTCTGCTCCTCCACGTCGAGAAGAGCCAGCTGAGGTGGCTCGGGCATTTGTTCTTGATGTCTCCTGGACGCCTCCCTGGAGAGGTGTTTTGACCACGTCCCACCAGGAGGAGGGCCTGGGGAAGACCCAGGGCACACTGGAGGCCTGGGAACGCCTTGGGATGTCCCCGGAGTTACTGGAGGAAATGTGTGTGGAGAGAGAACTCTGGGCATCTCTGCTCAGATTGCTGCCTCATCGACCAGTACCGGATAAAGCGGATGAAAATGGATGGATGGACCAAGTGAATTAGGGCTACTTTTAGCCTACTTTTGAAAGCATCACAGGCCCTGCACCTTTAAGAGCGCGTGCGTGTGCGCCGCATCTTAAAGTTTAACTGGGGAATAGCCCAGCAGCCAACAGCGGGGCCAGAGCTGCTGCTGAAGCGATGCTGCAGGCGGCGCGCGGACAAAAGAAGACGTGAGGGGGCGTGAGGGGGGCAGAGGCAGAGATGTGTGCACCGGGACAGGAGCTGGTGCAGCGGTGTGAGACAGTCTGAGTACTGGGACAGGAGCTGGTGCAGCGGTGTGAGACAGTCTGAGTACTGGGACAGGAGCTGGTGTAGCGGTGTGAGGCTCTATACTCACCGGGACAGGAGCTGATGTACCGGTGTGAGGCAGTCTGAGCGCCGGGACAGGAGCTGGATGTAACGCTGTCTGAGGCTGATGTAGCGGTGTGTGGACTGAAGGAGGCGGGGGACGTGTCCAGAGAACCAGTGGACCCCCGTGTCTCCACCATGCCGCTCGTGCCGCGCGCTCTGCTCTTCGCGTTGGTCACTTTGCTCATGGTGCTCCTGATCGTGGATGATATCACACAAGTTGAACGAGAGAGCGCGTGAGTACCGCTGAGCCCGGGTCCGTGTGCGTCTGTGCTGTTTTAATGACCATTGTTCGTTCTGGCGCCACTTTGCGCAAAGAAAGGGGCTAATTTCCACGGGATATTGTCAGTTTTGGAGTTGATAACAGCCCACAGGGTGCACGCAGCCACGGCTTCGGTGTTTTCTCGCTCCCATAGAGTGCGTTTATTGTGGATGTTATCATCAAACCAGGACTGAGTGTCAGCAGTTAACCAACACTGAGCCGGGACTAAGCCTACACTGATCAGGACTAAACAGGTGCCCTAAACGCATAGACCTATTTATCCAGGTCTATAAGATAAATAAGTAACCATGAGGACAAAACCTGAACCAGTTTAAGTGTAAACTAGGTCTAAACCAGGATTAAGGCTGCATTTTTATAGGATCAAACCAGGACTGACTTCACTCAGGCCTAAATCCAGAAAGCACCAGGTCAGGATCAGACAGTTGATTAGTTGATTTTTATTGGGGTAATTATACACAGAGCCCTTGCATTTAAAGCATAGGGCATGTCTTTTGTCTATGAAAGCACCAGGTCGAGCTACTAGCTGCCCTATAATTTAATGAAGTGCTAAACCAGGACGAAATTAGGACTAACCTAGGTGTGAACCAGGTGTAAACAGACCCAAACAAAAACTAAACCAGGACTACAGCTGGACTAAACCAACTCAAAAATGGGACCAAATGGGGTCCAAAGTGGGTGTGGGTGTGAGGCCGGGCCTGGGGTGCGGCAGGAGCAGCTGTTGAAATGGAGCGGACCAGGTCTCTGAGGACCAGACTGTCTCCAGCAGCACGGCCCGGATCCACTTACACTGAAGAGGAGGAGGCGGGGGAGGAGGAAGAGTCCTCTGTCTCATTTTACTCCTCTGTGACCGGCTACATGTTTAATACCAGTCACATGTCTGAAACTACTCTCAAACCTATAGGGCTGTAGTCCACTATGTCGTGCCAATAAATGAGTCGACTAAAAAGGGGACGTGGCAGAAGATCTCAAAACTATTCTGTATTTCTATGTATCTGACCCAACCTGCATTCATAAAACTACACGTGCATGGGACTCACTCTCTGCTGTCATCCCATATAAATCCTTATCATCTAAATACAATGAGTAGTCAACTAATACAAATTTTGGTTTCTTTCTTTTATATTAATATGTGTTTTTTGTAATCCCACAATTGACCAGGATAATCATCCATTGATGTATACAAGTCTATGTTGTCCTACACTTGTTCTGAAACAGCTCAAGATCATTCTAAAGCTGATGCGATGTGCAGTAGTTTCATTAGCAGGATGCACGCTGATTGTGTTGTGATATCGCTCTGAAGGAGGAGCGATTTCACATTACATTTATTAGGGTCATAACCTAAATCACAATAATTAAAAGTTAACATTGGTTTGTAGTGTTTCATGATTCATCTTTGAAAAGTCCCAGTATTAGAGACAAGATGGGACTGCAGGTAATTTAATTCTTCCGATTACAGTTATAATCCAGATGAAACTGTGATGTGATTAGAGTCTGTGGTAGGCCCATTACGGCTGCATTTGTGCTGGTCTCCATTGCACCACACCTCACTCTGGGATCTCCTTACACTGTCTAACCCAATCCACTGTGCTTTCAGAGGCTCAGGGCGGGCCCACAAGACCCCCAAACCACACAGGTAACACTGCCTTAAGTGAATTATAGATGTAGTGATACTTTGCAGCTGATGTCATCAACATTCCCTGGGGGTGTGATGCTCACTGTTGGCACTGCTCTGTCTGACGCTCTAGACTTCAATCTGAGCTTTTTTTTTTTTTTAACACAATCTGACCCAAAAGACCTGATTTAGCTGGAACTACAAGGTGAGTCTCACACATAAAACGACAGTCACAAGCTACATATCAGCTAACAGTTTTTCAGTTAGTCTCTCACCTTTTTGATGAAAATCAAATCTCTAAACAGGACCACGAATCCTTGTATTGATCACAGGCTCCTGTGTTGTTGAAATCCATTTTGTATTTTTCTTGTGCATTGTATCACCATAGTAACTGATGAACATCCCTCGTACATGTAGGCATACATGTAGAACACCCCAGCGTGATGTCACTGCAAAGTATCAGTTGTTTTTGATGGTTCTGAGGAGTAGTTAGCTTGTCTGACCTATTTTAATGCTGTTACAGAAAATGAGTCCAACTGCACATTTTGGACAGATAAGACTAGAATATGAGCTGCTAATACAATACAATGTTAATACAATAACTCCACCTGAACATGTTTGTGGTTTAAACTATAGAGTTATCTTTAGGTTCTTTTAGTCCTCATGGAGATATTTAGTCCTCTGCAGAGGGCATTATATTAATTAGTTATGCAAATGTATGCACAATTGTGGGTAGCAGCCTAGACATGTTATAATAAGCAGGAAGCAAAATCTTGTAAATATAATGTAATATTATAGTTTTATAGTATATTATAGTGTTTAGTTTCATCAGATAGAGTTTCATTAGATAAAACCCAACTGTGCAGAAATTACCCCATTTGTACTAAAATTACTACACAACACTGTCGAATCCTATGTTATCAAATGGCATACATTTGTAGAACATGATATATATTGCCAGTACAGGTACACACGGTAACAACAATGTTGTTTGTTTCATAATTCATGTTGATATGCTCCATGTTTTTGCCTCTCCTTCTCTTCAGGCCTGCTGCTGTGCACGTCGATCCGACCCATGGCCAGCCCGCGGTGACACGTGTGACAGGTGCAGAGAGACCCAGCTCTAGCCGGGTGGGGAACTGGACCTTCAACCACACCTTGGCCAACATCATCAGGTTGAGTCCTCTTCTGTCCTCCCAAAACAACATAGACAAGATAGACAAATGCATTAATTTATTTATGTATTTTATATTCATCATTTATATAAAAGGTTTCCATTCACATCAAAGACAGCATTTTTGTTTTGATATAGATCAGGCTGTGCCTTTCCTCTCTCTTGTTAATCCTTCTGTCAACGCTGCTCATTGGTGGCACTGGCACCAGACATTTATTGGTAGAAGGAGCTATGAAGAATCTTCAAGGCACAATGTGTACTGAAAAATGTGTCCTCTGCATTTGACCCATTCTTCAAACTCCAGACCTCAGTGCAGACGCATTTGCAGATCTTGAGCTAATCTTGGTTTAATTTTGATGGATCAGTCCTGGAGATACAGGTGACCCAGATGAAACCCACCCAGACACTGTATAAGGAAGTGGACTAAGTGAGCGTGCTGTCACTCATAGCATTTGTCTCAAGCCAAATGAAGCCAATCGAGGCTACCAGTTATAGCAGCGAATTTGGAGCAAAGATCTATATTTGGAATTCCCAGCATGAGTATCATTGCAACCAAAGAGTAAACGTTATTTTTTATTTTAAGTCATTAATATCTTGATTTAAGGACAAAATAGCAAAATATAAACACCAAGATTACGTATACAGGTTAGAGAGTTAAAAGTAACCCGGGGCTCACTTCCTGTTCTATATATAAAGTTTATGACCCAGACACGAAGAACATGCAAACTCCACACAAACTCCAAACCTGAAACCTAGTGCACGTGAGGTCAGAGCAATAGCCACCGTTCACTTTTAATCAGAACCTGTTTCTTGATGTTTGGTTGTCCTCACAGAAAGGAGATCCTGCACTTCCTGGACCCTGTGCGGGACATGTCCATTCTGAGGGGAGCGGTCAGTCCTGGAGACACTGTCCACTATGTGCTGGACCGTCACAGCAGTACCCACATCTCAGACACCCTGTACAGGCTCCTCCCCTCTAACCCACCCCTCCGCAGGCAGTACCACCACAGCTGTGCCATCGTGGGCAACTCGGGCATCCTGCTCAACAGCCGCTGCGGGCACCAGATCGACCAGCACCCCTTTGTCATCAGGTAACACACGTGGGAACGAGCATTGTAACTAACATGGGAGCTAACATTCTAACTAGCATTGTAACAAGTACTGTAAATAACATGATAACTAACCTTGTAACTAGGATGACCAGACATAACTATTTATCCGGGACAGTCCCAGTTTTGAGTACTGTGTCTCCTGTCCCAGCAGATTTATTCAAAACCATTTGTTTGTCCCATTTTTGTACAGGAAATATCCCAGGTGTCCCTATTTTTGACCAATCTGGTCCCTGCCAACAGTAAAGAGAGGCAGAAACTGTCATTTGTTTTGGTAAAATACAGAAAAGCTGCTTAAAAATGACTAAAACACAAAGACTGTACTCACTGTACTCAGATGTTAGTCGTAAATGGGCCTAGTGCAGGACAATTTATGCACTTGTTTCAGAATTTTATTATTGCCAATCACCCCAAATCTAGCCTGATTCATCAGACAGTTTCACTTCGTTTAAACCATCTGACCTTGTAGCATTAGGATTTGTTCACTCGACGGTGGCCGGGTACTTTTTTTATTTAACCAATCGCTGCTATTTGGTCATGACGTATGTAACTGGTATATTAAGCTTTTCCCAAATGCTGTAGGAAGAAGGACAATAACGTGTTTCCCCTTGTTAAAATTCACCAAACATTCTCTTTGTTCTGGCTTTAAATCCTTGATCTTGGAAATTGTTGCCAACACTGAATGTATGGCTTTGTCTACATCTATCTCAACATTTTTTTTTTACTGTTTTGCTGTTCAGCTCTTTGCTGATTGGTTGGTGCACGGCCTACGACTTCTGGGGTTCTTGCAAACTGTCTAGTGTATTCCAATTCCTGACCTAGTCACTGGATAGAAATGAAATTGAGTGGAGGCACTAGGTGGTACCAGCCTGGCCACCATAAATCAGCCACGTCCCTGTTTATGATTTTGAAAATCTGGTCACCCTACTTGTAACTAGCATTGTAACTAACATGGTAAACTGCTTTGCAACTAAAACTGTAGCTCGCATTCTAATTAATTAACATGGTAATAAATAGTGATGTAACTAGCATTGTAATTAACATGGTCATTGACATTGTAACTAACAGTGTAAGTGTTGTAGAAGTCTGATAGGTAGTAGTCCATAGAATATTGATGAAACAGCAGGAGACAGTCTGCATGTCTGATGCTACTGCTTAAGTTTATTATGAAAGTGGCCAGTGGTACCTGAACACTCGACAGAATGCAGTGAGCATAGTACTGTCACACTGAAGGACATATTGAGACCATATCTAACATGTCTAAGTGCCATATTTGATTAAGTGTCTTAGCTTGACTGTACAGTTTGACCTGCATACAGCTTGACCCAATATCATTAGTTATTAATAGTAACATGGTAACTAACAAGAGCAGCCACCAGACCGACCAGCTCTCCTTTGTCATGAGAGCACTAACATGTAACTAACACAATTTTAACTGGTTTTACTTTCAGTTATAATATAGCCTGATTACTCCTCCTACGCTTTTACTGACAAAGGACTGGCTGTAGACCTCTTTAATTAAAAGACCCAAGCTAATCACTTAGTGTTAAAACAAATCTTGATTAATTGCCCAGCCCAGACTACTTGAGTTAAAATGATTTTATTTTGGATGTATTCCTTTTTTTTGTGAAGGGTTTAAATGTGATCTTCTTTATCTTCTCCCCCCTCTCCTTTCTCTTTCCTCTCTCCCCTGGTCTCCCCTCTCTCTTCTATATCCCCTCTTCTCTCTTTCCTCCTCCTCCTCCTCACTCTCATCCTCTCTCCTCGCTCCTATCTCCCCCTTTTCCCTTTTTCACCCATCTCTCCACCCCTGCCCTCCGCCCTCTGCCCCTGTGTAGATGTAACCTGGCCCCGGTGGAGGAGTTCTCGGTGGACGTGGGCTCCAGGACAGATTTGGTCACCATGAACCCGTCGGTAGTGCAGCGGGCGTTTGGGGACCTGCTCACGGACGAGTGGAGGCAACGCTTTGCCCATAGACTGCGGGCTCTAGGGGGGAGTGTGCTGTGGGTACCCGCCTTCATGGCCAAAGGGGGGGAGGAGCGTGTGGAGTGGGCCCTGAAGTTGATCCAGGAGCAGGGGCTGGAGGTGCGGACTGCTGTGCCTTCTCTGAGACTGCTGCACGCCGTCAGGGGGTAAGACACACCGGGTACAAAGAGCTGGGAATCCTGGAATATTGATATTTTGCAGTGGCACAATGCACACATTAGCAAACACAAACAAAAAAGATTTAAGACTGTCTGAAAAAAAAAAAAAAAAAAACATTTTCATGAACCTGTGCTCATGGTCCCGTTTAGGTGTTTGATTTTCAACAGGAAGTTAGAAGTTAGAAGTGCAAACTCAAGTTAGATCAAGTCTAACTTAATTTTGACCTTCTAACAGTTAGAAGCTCTGTTAGCTTCAGCTTCATATCCTCAGGGAGTGTTGCAGACATCAGCTGCAAAGTATTAACACTAGTGATAGTTGTCACTAACATTTCAAACTTCATTTGAGGAATATACTCAATACCTATTACAATACCATGATAATAATAATTTAAAAAAAAACCTTCTTTAGACAATAGAAAGTGATTTTGAGCTTTAAATAATAGTACATTTTTATATTACCATGTGGTCTAACATCTGTGTAATCCCTCAGTTGTCCAGGTAGGCTCCATAGTGGTCCATGGGCATATACTAGTCTATGTGGTTTTATACTTGTACTTGTTGTAAAAGAACTCAGTTTGCCAACCTAACAAAAGTAATCTTTTGTTAGAGTGGCAAATATTATTCTTAGTTTTATACCAGATGAAACAATTTGTGAAGAATGACAGTGGAAGAATGAGAGACTGAATGAGAGATAGAATTCTCCGTAAGCAAGGCACATTTTATGTACAAGCAACATATTGATCATTTAAACCATTAACTGCACCGCCTGCAGTGTAACTGTTTTAAAAAGGTATGGAACCTGGGTTACAGTGTACGGACAGGCCATGCCTCATGTGAAAGCTCAGAACCTCCAGAATTCCCTCACTGAGCTGCAGAGGCCGCACTAGCACTCAAATAATGTTTGGCTGCTGGTGCTGGGGATTAGGTAAAGACCATTCAGATTGGAGAGAGGCATTTGAGGTTTAAACCAAATGGATTTCAGCATTGAACCTGGCAACACAAATGAGAGACTCAAGTGAGGAACATTCTGTTTCTTGATTGGGTGGCTTTAGAATCAAAATATCAAATTATAACTAAACTACTTGTCCATTTGTTTTTGTTACTAAGAATAAATCAACATTATAATTACTATCAGTGAAAGCTAAGTTCCAAGTTTGACTTGGAACGAGTCTAGGGACACCAGTTTATGAAATTTAAATTTAAAATCTTTAAAAAATGGGACGAACAGATCTAGTTCATTTGAAATTGGTAGCATTATTAGAAGAAGCACTTGGCACTTTCTTAAATGTATTAATTGTATTCACAGCCCAATGTCACAGAGCAGGGCTGTCTCAGAGGGTAATCGAGGGGTTAATACACAGAGCTGTTCACTTGGAGGTGCTGGAACATGCGGTAGTGTGTGGAGGGCTGTCCTCTGCAGCATCAGGCTATTTTTACCCCAGGATGAGCACTCATCATCGGGCAGAGGAGGAGAGAAGGCTCCATCTGACATCCTGACTCTCAACTCCATCTGGCCAATATCACATGTACTAGGCAGTCATTCTGAAAACATGTTGTATTACAATTTTTGATTCCAGGAGCATTAAAATTAGAATGAAGACTGGAATATGAACTGCTGTGCTAATACAAGAATCCTCTGCCTTATAGAACAATTTCAAACTAAACTAAACTAAACTAAACTAGAGTGTTAGCAGCTTTTAGACAAAATAAGATCTCCTAACCAGCTATGTGGTAACTAATGAACATAAGACGAATAACTCAATTGAATATGAAGTGTGAAAAGTGAAACGCCTACATGTGATTGGTGTAAAAACACTAGTAGAGAAGAGGACTGACTTTTTCACAGTTACAGTGAAGGCATCGTTCTGTCCTCCTCACAACTCACAAAGTGGATCATTATGTAAGAGTATTCTGAGTTCTGCGCCTGAACAAAAATAGATCCATACACATACTTATTGTAGGTCTAGTTGTGATTATTCCAAAAATTTTAACTCCAAATAGGATTTAAAAATGTTGCATAGTTGTTTTTAAAATCTAGAGATCGGTAAAATGCCAGTATGAAGAGGTGGTGCTATTACTCATGTATTACTCCTGGAGATTATTGGCATTAGTGACAGTAGCTCAGTTGGTTGAGTGTTTGTCCACTAATCCAACGATTGGCGTACTCTGGTGTATGAACATGTGTGTGAAAGGGTGTGTGGTTCTTTGATGTAGAGCGCTTTATGAAAATGTGACAATTTACCATTTACATAGCAATTAGCTCCAATATGCCCACCGTGACCATGATATAAACACAAGGTATTTAACAATAACATTTTGGCTTAATTTAATGAAGCACCAAAAATCAAACATAAATGAGTGACCTTCAGAGCTGGAAGTATAGGCCTGTTAACCACAAAATGTTCAAAAAGTGTGTTTTTATCTTGCTGTCTCATTAAAGAGGAGATATTATGCAAAATTGACTGAGAGTAATGTGAAGAGAGACTCAGACAAACTGAAACTAATTACATTAACATTTGGAATATGTTGTTTTCAGCAAATATAGCATTTTCAAAAAATAAAAGGTGACCTAAATATGTTATTTGTTAGCAGTTAATACTCCATAGAACTAAAATGCCTCCTCTTTAAAGAGCCCATATTATGATATTTTTTGATTCACATTATAATGCTGTTTCCTCATCAGAAATATACCTGGATTTGTGTTTTGTTTCATTCACACATGTTTAACCACAAATTCTGCATAGTATTAGACGTTCTTCTCTTAAACAAACAACACTCTCTTCCACCTTGTGATGTCATGTGGTAATACAGGAACTCCACTTTGTTTGTAAACTCCATACACTTTGTCTAGGATCATTTGGATAATTTCAGCCCTGGAATTGCCAATCTCTGCTGCACAAGAGGTAGCTGTTCCGTAACTTGAAAACTACTGCTTCATGACATCACAAGGTGCAACAGAACATTTTGATGTTTGGAGATGTAGACAGACTAAAAATAAAGGGTTACTCAAACATGTGTGAATGAAACAAAACACAACTCCAGGTTAGTTTTTGAGAAGGCAACAAAGACAAGGCTCAAAGAGACAATTTTGTGTAATTTGGGCCTGTTTAAAGGGACAGTCTGGAATTTAGGACAAAGGACCTCATTTCCTAGTGAGCCAGAGTGTTGAAGACGTGTGGAGACACTTTTTTAAATATTCCATCCAGTCCTTGTATTTGCAGAGATCGCTGGTGCTAGGCTAGTGCATGTCAATGGCCATAGTTAACCTGCCTCTAAAAACAGTCTTACCCACTCCACAAAGCACCTGAAGCAAATCTATTATTACACCAGACTATTGATGTGAATGTCTGTGTTGATAGAATAATTTCAGTAGTAAAACCAACCTTGCATTTGAAGGATTTATGTCTGAGCAGCAACAGTGAGTTGTACTTCCTGATAGAAAGGTTGGCAGCGGCGGACTGATATCACCTCTCACCTTCCTTACCGGCAAAGTAAAATTCCGCTGCTGCTGAGAAAATAGTCCCTCAACATGCGATGATTTATGCGATACAAGGTTAGTTTTATTTCAGACATTATTCTATCAACACAGACATTTAGATTTACAGCAGCCTGGCGTAATAATAGATTTGCTTCGGGTGCTTTGTTGAGTGGGTAAGACTGTTTTTATATGCACCAAGCACCAGCGACCTCTAAAAATACAAGGACTGGATGGAATATTTAAAATATTGTCTCTACAAATCTCCAACACTCTGGCTAACTAGGAAATTAGGTCCTATGTCCAAAATTCCGGACTGTCCCTTTAATATCAGTGGCAGACTGTGAGCGCAGCTATTCTAAACACATCACTTTCCTCAACAACATAAGGTCAGTACTTTTGCCTCCCTCCTCTGTCCCTTGTACAGGTACTGGCTGACCAAGCAGGTGCCCATCAAGCGCCCCAGCACGGGTCTGCTCATGTACACCCTGGCCACACGCTTCTGCTCCCAGCTACACCTGTACGGCTTCTGGCCCTTTCCCTTGGACTCTCATGGAGCTCCGGTCAAGTACCACTACTACGACCAGCTGACCTACCACTACACGTCCAGTGCCGGCCCCCACGCAATGCCCCTGGAGTACCGCACCCTGAACGCGCTGCACAATCAGGGGGCGCTGCGGCTGCACACGGGCCCCTGTGAGCCGGCAGAGACCACAGGGGGGCGCACTGAGGGTCCAGTGGTGTAAGGGTTATACAGGCATGGATACTACAGGTTACAGTAGTGTTATTTAAAGGGCCAGTGTTACACAAAACAAACTCATTTAGACATGTTCTAATGCTGTTATCTCCTCCAGAACATACCCGGTGCTGTGTTATGTTTCATTCTCACATGTAAGTCTGTCTGCATCTTCAAAGCTGAAAATGCTCTCTTCCACCTTATGATGTCATCAAGTGGTAGTCATCAATGTAACAGTTATTTTAAGCCTCAGTTGAACTGCTTTACTCTACAATACTTAAGATTTGAATAATGTTAAGTTGTTAGTTTTGCATTTAAATATTTTTTGTTTGACATATTGTACAGCTGAGATTGTCAATAGAAAGTCTCTAATACCTTCTGATGCAAAGAGGAGTGAAGAGATTTCAATGAGGCTAAACAACAGCTGCAGCCTCAAAGTTAGGCAAATCCAAGGCTGAAATGATCCAAAAACAAAACTGTGCATTTCCTGTATTACCCTTTAATGACATCACAAGGTGGTGTTTTCAGCTTGAGAGAAGACCTTTGCTTACATTTTCAATGTTTGTCTGTTAAACTTGTGAATGAAACAAAACACAACTCTGTTTTTAATGAGGAGACAACATTATAGCATAGATTAAAAACAGTACAATATGGGCACTTTAAACATGGTGACACTAGGCTACAGGAGTATCTGAGATGGCATGAGGAATTAGCACCTTTACCATAGCACTTAACAATTCAAAACAAAATGTTATATCTTTTGACTGGTTAAAGGGTCTATATTACACTATTTTCTGATCTCTTATAATGTTTCCTCAAAACAAACATACCTGGAGTTGTTATGTTTCATCTGCATGTGTTTAAAACACAAACCCTCTATATTTAGGCTGTGTTACTGCTTCAGGTAACACTGGCTCTTTCAGTGTTTTACAGCTGTTGTTGTATTATCTATGGACTATTGCAATATTTACCATAGATGGAACCATTTTATATTTTTCTTCTTATTTATTTTTTATCTGGCCTAGTTAATTCTTACACAATCCTTTATGTACGGAGTATGAGATAACATTGTTTTCTGGTGACGTTTATCCAGGGAAATATGGGTCATAAGGACTAAGGAGTAGTGTTTTCACAATACAAAAAAATTCATTTTATTCTTATGTCTATGTAACCCCTTAACGCCAACTGTCACAAATATGCAACAAACCATTTGGATCAAGATATAAGATGAGGCTGCATTCCCCCAGTGCTGGTTTGTGCATATGCAGGACTTTCCTAGGAACCTTTGGCAAGCACTTGTTTCTGTCACAAATTTGCAGTGTACCCAAATTTCTATTTAGTTGTTATTTATTTTGAATTTATTTATTTATTTAATAGGGACAGTGCATATTAATGAACATCTACAACACTGCAGTGTAAATATGCCAGATTATAGCAAAAATGATCATTTCCATCTGTAGTCCCTAGACAGGTAACACCACAAAGAAACAACAATAACAAGTGACAGTTGTTTAGTAGTCAGTTTGTAGTCAAATTAATAATCTCAATTTAATTTACTTAAAGGCAAAAACACACACAAAACATTTTTATATACATCTACATAAATTCAGGCGTTAAGGGGGTAATCCCTCAGTGTTCCAGGTTCCATGGGTGTATACTAGTCTATGTGCTCTTATACTTGTTCTGATACAGTTTAAGATCTTTCTAAAGCTATTCAGGAAAGGTTCATTTCTGTCCTGTGAATGTGACTTTTTAGTAGTGATACCTGCTCAAATCGATAATAGTTTTAGTATCAGATATTCTTCTACTTCTGAGAACTCTACTAAGGGGAAACTTGTTGAACCAGTGGCCCTTAAACAGCCTTTTGCACAGGGCCCTCACAGAGCTGGAAGCAGCCATGCTCTTTTTCACTAACCAACCAATGAATCAGGTACAACATTTGTGGATTTTCCTTTTGGATCTTTTATAAGCAATAGAATTCTATCACGGAATTCTGGCCCTGCTCCCATCTGAGGAAGGGCCATTCTACCGTCTGAAAACCACCCAGGATTTCTACCAGGGCTCGGGACGCTCACGAGGCTTACCTTTTTAAGAGGTTTCTATGACGACCGCACGCAAACAAAGGCCTTTTGGATAAGCCTCTCCTGCCAGCACCATCTGTCGGCTCTTTGTGTGGACTCAGTGGCTCTTTTGTGAATGAGGCCTGCTCCTTAACCTGACTGTAAACGATACACTCAGAAGGCGGAGGATATTCTGTTACTGTTCTCAAGTGGAAGTGGTGAAGTCAACTTAAAGACGCTGTACCTGATTTTGATTTTTTCTGTCTTAAAAACGTGGAAAACAGAACTAGCTCATTTTAAACGGGTCACAGTGGTCCAAACTTTTTCCGCAATTACCTTAAGCATTCTGAGCATCCTAATTATTCACAGCAGTGAGTTTATAAGAACTTTTCACAACTTTCAGAGGTCAGAGTGGAGTTTTGTGTTCATGTTAAAGCAACAACTAACATGCTAATGTGCATTTCCTAATTATTGGACAATAAAATGCTGGATAATTTTGATGCAGACAGTAAATTCAGACCTCAAGAGCTGCTTATACAATATATATGTACAGGGGTAAGACAGTTTTTGCTGAAATGCATGGGAAAAATCTGGTACAGTGCTTTAAGCTCATAATGTACAAACTGATGTAACCTACTCCATAAATTATGAATGTTCTTTGTTGGTTTAAAAAATGAGTGGTATTAAAGGTGCACTTTCTGGTAGAGTGTATGCTGAAATATTTTTGCTTTGCCTGGAATGTTCCACAGTATACTTACATGTACAATTCTTGTAGCAATTACTATATTTACTACAGTTACAGTTACACCAATTACAGGCATTTTCATTGCTAAAAAAATATTTTGTGGTGTCTAAAAAATAATCTGTGGTGTCACCTGCTATCTCCATGGTGATAGATAAGTTTTAAGCCATAGTGTGGAACATTCCAGGACAAAGCAATACCATCTCTAAGGAGAATAGATGGTTTTAGAGCCTCCACCTGAAAAACATAGTGCATCTTTAGTAATATATTCATCTGTCTGGACCTATAGTTATTTATTTAGTCTGCATTTTGTGTTGATAAAGTAATATTGTTGATAAACTAAAATTTAAAACTTGATTTCGATACCAAGGAATCGACTCGATACTCAATACTGGGTGATTCCGATACCACGGTGATAATAAAAAACACCCTTTAGAAAATAGAACATGATTTTCAACATTAAATCAGAGTACTTTCTTTTATATTACAATGTGGCCTTAAAACTGTGTAATCCCTCAGTAGTCCAGGTAGGTTCCATAGTGGTCCATGGGCGTATACTAGTCTATATAGTATGAAACTTGTTCTGATACAGCTCAAGATCATTCTAAGGCTATTCAGGATTCAGGTTCATTTCTGTGAATGTGACGTTTATAGTATCAATACCTGTTCAAATGAGTGTCTAGTTTCTATATTAGGTTTAGTATCGATTCTTAGTGGATTTTCAATACTTTTGACAATCCTATTACCATGTTTGTACTATTTTGTCATAGATCAAGACCACTCCAAAACTATTCAGGAAAGGTTCATTTTTGCCATTTTTTGTTTAAAAAAGTTTCAGTATCAGTACTTCATGAGTACCTAGCTTTGATACTGTTGTTAGACCAAGTATTTTAGTGTCTGAGTAATGATCTTTTGGTCAGTTGTATCTTGGTGGCTTGCCTTATTTGGCATTGCCTGATAGTTTCAATATATTTCAAAGGGCCTGCACTTTGTAGTTTATGACTCAACTCAGTAGAGCATAAAAGTGATTCATGGTTCAACCTCACAGTGAGAGGAGAGACTTATGTTCTTTCCTCAGTGTTAGAAATGGTTTTCTTATATTGTGCAACCAAATTTGTAATTGAAATTAGAAAAACTTTCTTTAGCAAATTGTGCCTTGAAATAATAATAATAAAAAACATAAGAAATCTGAAACATTTTACTTAGTAAATTAATTTATTACATTAGTTTTTAGCAAACTGGGAAGTCTCCAAAAGGATATGAAGTGACCAGAACCATATAACTCTCTTGAGTGTATGATCCTATCCTGTCACCTCTGCTCCTGTCTGCTCCTGTCCCCTTATCTCTACTCCTGTCTGCTCCTGTCTGCTCACCTCTGCGTCAGGGCTAATGGGACTGTAGTGCAGTCCTTCACCAGCAGAGGGAGTTGTTTTGCTGTCAGTGTCTGCTTATGGTTGAAATCTTTGCAGTTACTGGATCTATCCACATGAAACAAAAACTGACACAAATCTCATACACTGCAAAAAGTTATTTGAGTAGATCTGACTTGATAAGTCAACACATGCTCCTTTTTTTCTTAATTAAAAAAAAAAAGTCCTATATTACACCAAATTGACTATTGTGAACTTTAAGCCATTTTATAATGTTCCCTCCTCAAAAAAAAACATGCCTAGAGTTGTGTTTTGTTTCATTCACACATGTTTGGCTAGTCCTTTATCATTAGTCTGTCGACATCTCCAAAGCTCAAAATGCTCTGTTCCACCTTGTGATGTCATGTAGTGGTAGTTTAGTCATCAGTGTATGGAGTTTAAAAACACAGTGGAGCACATATTTTTCAGAGAGAACACATCCTAAACATGTGTGAAGGAAATAAAACACAACTCCAGGTACGTTTGTGATGAGGAAACAACATTATAACATAGAAAATACCACAACATGGGTCCTTTAAGTGTATTAATTTTTTTACAAAAAGTGTTGTTCCATTGGTAATAAGATAAAGTAAAGATGTAAAGTAATTTAACTTAGCTAGAGCAAATAATGCTGATGAACCAAAACTAAATAATTACTGATTTTGGGATTTCAAACAGCTCCTCCCCCAGACTGAGCCCTGCCCTCATCTGAGAGATTTGGACTTGTAATTCCAGAATGTTCTTATAGCCTGTCAATCTAACAAATGTGACTAAACCTATATCTAACGCCCAATGAAAA